TTTGAGATCACTTTCTTCAAAAGGACATAACGTAGAAGTCACTCTGCTCTGTACATTTGTGCTTAAGAGCGTCTACAACCAACTCCTGAGGTGCTAGTACTGGTGCATCTTCTGATACTATTATAGAAGTCATCATTTCAATATTTCATTGAATGCTTTACCTTCTTGGCTTCTCTCACGAACATAGTGTTTCAAGATCAGACGACAGCAAGCGATAAGGCCGATAATGAGAGCGAAAATAGAAAAACCTTAAAATAAGAGATTGAGCAGATGATTGAAGAGATTCACCAATTATAAGCATTACTGAGAAGTAAACAACTCCTTCCATCTTATCACCTAAGCGTTATGATAAAGTTAGTCTCAATCTGTAATTAAGATCATCATAGACAGAATGGAGAAACATAAAGAGTACCAGTTGACTTATCAATAATGATTTACCTGAACTACTACACAGCTTTTTCAAGCTTGATATGCTAGCCTGTTCTAGCTAATTCACTTCCAACTCAGCGCACGTAGTATGAATTTTAAATAGTATAAACGAATGAATTTGATAGAGATATATAGTTGAAACAGAGTTATGATAATGAATCAATAAAACGCTTTCCAACTTGTTGAATGGGTTATGAGATATATAGTTTAAGAGAGCTGAGAACCATACTTGTTGCTAGGAAACAGGCGGGAAGGTTAAGCTTTAAGCCCAGATTACTTAATTGATATACTCAAACTCTCAGTGTCTGCTCATTTTTTTTTCAAATTAATCACATGAAAACTCGCTCTTGAACGTAGTCTATTTCTATATGTCATGGAGATTACCTGTGACTTCATCAAGGTGTACCTACTCCTACTCTCATACTATGCTTCATACTTCTTATAATCAATTCTGAATTTTCAGTAAAATTGATCGGAGTAACGCCAGTTCCTAAGATATATCTGCATACTATAAGCAGCAGTTCCTCTATGACGTCATTTATTAACACAATCTTTTTCGTTCAGCTGTTGGTTGAGCCAGAATCCGGAAGGGTAGTGTTCCATACTCTCAGAGTTCTTGAGTGTTATAAACAACATGACATAACGTTTATTACATTGGAGCAAAATTACACGAATATAATAAATATTAATATCATTTATTGTTCCATTGGATTAGTATCAGTTGATGACGATGAAGACGTAAGTTCTGATCTCAAAGAGCAATGGCTTCCACACGGTAGTCAGATTCTGAAAATTCAAGGTGATTCAGAATATTTGTAAAGATATCCATACCACGACAGTTATCTCTCTCAGCTTTGAAGCGATTGTAGAAATAGAGGATGATGTAGTAGACGATGAGGAGAACTCCAGCGATGATCAAGTAGTTGATGACTTTGGGATCCATTTTTCTTAGAAAGGAGAAGCGAAGAGCGGTAGACCAACTTCTGCTTGATGAGCAGCGAATGTAATGATGAACAACTCTGAACTCGGGACACACAGAGGGAGTGGCTTTCGTCTGCCATTCACGATTGTTATTCTGCAAAAATAAGAATAATGGTAATTTACTTTTCAATCTGCTAAAATCCATTGTGAGAGTCATGGTTCAAACAATCAGTGGCTCCTAATTGTTGCTAGGTGACAGAGCAAGAATAGGATGACAATCAACTTTGATTACTCTATTTAAACAAGTTAATCAGTGTACTATCTGATAGTTCATTAGTTTTTTCTTGAATTCTTCTTGAAGAAAAAGATTCTTTTGAATTCCGTCTTCCATTTCATTCATCATGGAGCTTATTCATTACTTCTTAACCATATGGGGCATCATATTCCTTTACTGTGCTACCGTATACCTGTACAACCGCTACAAAGAATGTAAAGAACATCATCAAGGTATATCTGTAACTTATACAGTGTGAGTTGAAAGTAACTCTTAGGACGTCTTCTGGAGGAACGTAAGATGAAGTACAAACGGGAACTGGTCGCTCATGTTCTGAAGCACCTTACACCAGAAGAAGCTGCTGCTCTAATAAATAAATACAACACTTAACTTACTTATTAAACTTGAACTAATTGTATAAGTTCCTCTGATTGTATTAGTGATAGTAGAAAAGTGTTTACTACTCTCATAAAACGAGATAAATATAAAACTGCAGCATCATATGCAAAACCGGTAAAAGAGATAAAAGGTTTGAGATCACTTTCTTCAAAAGGACATAACGTA